GTTGCAAAACTAATAGGAAGGGATGTGCTTGGTTATTTCATGCCCTGCTGCTATCTCATTGTGCCATTATACAAGTTACAGTTTGAAGCCATGTCAAAATGAATCATTTGTTTTAGCTTCTTAATTTGCATGCTCTCCATAGGTTGATCTCTTTATATATTTGGCCTAAAACACAAAATATCTACCACAGATACCAATGCCACCAACTCTCCAGCCTTTTGGTACTCCAAGTCAGTATTACTCAATACCGTCTATGGACCTGGTATCATGGGAATGTAAGAGATTATTTAGAATTTGTATGCAGGATTCAATTCCCACCACAAATACAAACTCTAGAAAAGCTAAACTAAAATAATAGAAAGGAAGTGCAGGCAGAGCATGATGAAATTCATTATTCACAGCTTGTTTTGAGCTCTTAATATGGTTTTCCTCACTTGTTTCTCTCAGGTGTATACAGAGGTGGCTATGATTTACTGGTGAGGTCCAGGCTGGCCTTAGCAGATGGAGTGACCATGCAGGTGACTGTCAGAAGCAGAGAGGGAACACCTGTAGATGTTATCTTGGCCTCTGTTGGATAAGTTTGTACTGGGCAAGATGAAGTTGATGTACACTTCACCATCAGTGGGCTTTTAGCTAGTGGCGTGAATATTAAAGATTATGACTTTGGAAAAGCAAATTAAATGTTTGGCCCTGAGCCAGCAGATCAAGCAAATCTGTCCTTGTGCATGTCTTATCTTTATTATACTTGGTCGACTTTGGTATGATAGTACAGCTTTGGGTGATCTTGAAAATCACATACTACCTTATACCCCAGCTGCTTAACTTCATATTCTTTAATTTAATGTGTGTCTGAAAGCTCCTGGCAATGTTGGAAAGCTTTTATCCCAATGGGGTAGGGGGGTGGGGGGGGCAGCCAGAGTCCACTTTTGTCAAAATTCATTTTTATTAATAGAAAATAAACACTTATTCCAGTTTGTTGTTATACTTGAAAAGTTGCTAATAAAAAAATGAATTTAAAATAATCACTTAATCCCGTTTTGACTAAAAGTATTCAGCACCATTTGCTCACAGGCCTTTCAGAATTTGTTCTTAAGGTTTCTGGAACTTTCCTGTCTGAAAATAACAGGAATGGCTGAGCTACATGAATGAGGAAGCCTCTCTGAGACAACCAATGAGAAGTTAAGCAGTCATCATAAAAGGAATCAATGTACACGTGGCCTGGTAACTTACACTACACAATGATCCCCCCCTCCACGTTAGCTCAGGAGGGACATGCTTCTGAACTTGAGGTACGAAGAAACAGACTGTTAGCTGCTGTAGAATTGGTCTTTTCAGCCAGTAACAGTACATCTCTGGCACAGATACTATTGGTCCTTAATGTCCTGTGATTTTAGGAAATTTGGATTTAGTTTAATTTATTCAGAAATTCAACATGTTGGTTCAAGAGTCTGCCAGAGTGTCTGCTGGTTTAGTATCCTTATAAGATACACATAATATGTGTAGATAAATCATAAAACATACTTAAAGCACTACCTTTTTTTAAACAAAACCTATTTTAACAATGTCTATAATTAGAGGCAGCTGATGAAACAACTAAATCCAAAGTCTGACAAGGGAAACTCACTCTCACTTGAAGCTGTGCTGCTCAGGGAACTTAAAAAAGCATGTGCCCCTAAAGCCATTCAAGGAGAGGTAAGGAGGCACTCACTCCCCATTCTTTGCTATGTAATTCCAATTGGGGTGAGGCCAGAAATTGGCTTTTCTAAATATTTCAGAAAAGTCCACAGAAATGTTAAAAAGACTTTTATGCAAAAGAATGTCTGTCTGCATCAGTTGAGTTGTGATGCTCACCAGAATTTCCTAATAACACAAAGGCAAGTCCATACACTTGATCAGGTTTCAAGGAACAGAAGGTGAACTATTAGGTCACCTTTAGTTGGAGCTTCTGCTGGCTTTTTACTATACACTGTTCACCAATGTGAGTCAGATGAACTTCTGCGAAAGAATAGTGTTTGGTGGCCAGGGCCTCTTTTGGGCATTTCTTCCTAAGTGGCATAACACAACGGATAAGGGAGTAGGGGAGGTAATACAGGGAAGCTACTCTCCAGCTCAGAACGAGTTGATGAAGCCCATATATGCATTCAAGAAGCCCATGGGATCCTCTAGCTGTGGATAGTGGCTAATGTGGTCATCCAGAATCGACACTGTGGACCGCGGCAGCGTTTTCCTAGTGGAAGAGAACAGCATGTAGGTGAACTTGAGGCTGGATGGAAGGGGAGGGATGTAAGCCAGTGGGAAGCCCTGGTAAACTCTCCTGTGGACATACCACACTGGAGGGAACCTACACAGAGCTTATTCACCTTCTACCCTGGAATTGTAGCTTAGGCAGATATACTTGCCAATTCTATTTATGACGTATACAAACTAGTTTTTACATGTTCATAATCCAACAGACAACAACTTGAAAACAACACTTTTGCTGCAAATGTCAAAACAGGATGACTTCCAGCTCCTTAGAGAAGCCTGAAGTATCAGACAAGTGGGCCACTCAGCAACTCACTGTCCAAGTAAAGACAACAAAGACCTCCCTTAACCCTGGAAAGAGATGAGAGGGTTTAAAATCAAATGCAAGCTGTTTACTACTGAGTTGTTTCTGCTAGGCCATGTGAAGGTATGGAAAATTCTTATGTGACAAAGGCAGTTGAGATTTCGCAGTCCAACACCTTCCAACTAAGTACCAATGAGAAGGCACTTTTCTCAATCTCTCCTTGCAATCTGATCAGCTAAGGTCAATGAGTTGGCATTACAATCAATAAAAAGGAAACATTTCTTAAGATGGATCCACTTCCATTCCCTGGCTCACATGACAGCTTTTTCTTACCTGTATACATCAGAATATGTAGAAGCCATGACAGTGAAAATAGGCAGTATAAATCAAAAGACTGTATAACAGAATTTCTTGATCTTTACACATTTGTGTGAGAATAAAATTCCCAACTCATCCTCTTATGTTTCCTAGATGAACAACCAGTAAGGTCAGACAGTGACCAGAGCAAAAGCTCTCAACAGGAAATCCTACTCACCAAAGACCCCTGAGGGAGACTCACCTGTACAGCTCCAAAAACTCTGGATAGGGGTTCACAGGATCCAATGGCCCATAGATGAAATGAACTATGAAAGAGAAGAGGGAGTTACTAATAGATCTCACAGCTATTCCCCATTCCCCGCCCTAATTTTTTTTCCATTTTGAGAAATAATTGACATGTATATCATTGTGAAAAGTATACAGCCTGATGGCTTGGTTTACATTTACTGTGATATCGCTACCACAATAGTTCTGCTAATATCCATCTTCTTTATGTTTATTGTAGATACTATAAAAAAGGAAAAAAATTTTCTCCCTGTGATGGGAATTTATATAAGAGGTACTCTTAACTTTGCTGTATCTCATACAGCAGTGTTAACTATAGTCCTCATGGTGAACATTCCATCCCTAGTACTTATGGCTCCAAGTTTGTGCCTTTGACCACCTTCCTCCAAATTTTCCCTCTCCTACCCTCCACTTTCTGGTAACCACCAGTCTAATCTCTTTTCTGAGTTTTTTTTCTAAGTTCTATGTATTAGTGAAATCATATTTGTCTTTACTTGTGTGACCTATTTCATTTAGCCTAATGCCTTCAAGGTCCATCATGTTGTTGCAAATGGTAAGATTGCCTCATTTTTTATGGCTGAATAATATACCATTGTATATACATACCACAACTTCTTTATCCATCCATCTGTTGGTAGACAGGTTATTTCCATGATGTGGCTATTGTAAATAATGCTATGAATGTGGGGGTACTCTGTATCTTTTAAAGTTAGTGTTTCATTTCCTTTGGATAATAAGGTGTATTTTTAATTTTTTGAGGAAACTCCATACTGTTTGTCATAGTGGCTGAACCAATTTACAATCCCACCAACAGTGCGTAAGGATCCCCTTTTCTCTACATCCACGCCACCATTTGTTAATCTCTTGTCTTTTAGATAATGGCCATTCTAACAGGCATGAGATGATAGCTCACTGTGGTTTTAATCTTCATTTCCCTAATGAGTAGTGATGTTGAGTATCTTTTCAGGTACCAGTTGGCCTTTCATATATTTTCTTTTGAACAGTGTCTACTCAGGTCCTTTGCCTATTTTAAATTTGTTGGGTTTTTTTCGCTATTGAGCTGTATGAGTTTGTTATATTTTGTTTATCAACCCCTTATCAGATATATGGTTTGCAGACATTTTTCCCCATTCTATAGGTTTACCTTTTCCCTTTGTTAATGGTTTTTGCTGTGCAGAAGCTTTTTAGTTTGATGTAGTCTGACTTTAAGTAAATGGCACAGATGCTATTGGTCCTTAATGTCCTGTGATTTTAGGAAATTTGGATTTAGTTTAATTTATTCAGAAATTCAACATGTTGGTTCAAGAGTCTGCCAGAGTGTCTGCTGGTTTAGTATCCTTATAAGATACACATATTATGTGTAGATAAATCATAAAACATACTTAAAGCACTACCTTTTTTTAAACAAAACCTATTTTAACAATGTCTATAATTAGAGGCAGCTGATGAAACAACTAAATCCAAAGTCTGACAAGGGAAACTCACTCTCACTTGAAGCTGTGCTGCTCAGGGAACTTAAAAAAGCATGTGCCCCTAAAGCCATTCAAGGAGAGGTAAGGAGGCACTCACTCCCCATTCTTTGCTATGTAATTCCAATTGGGGTGAGGCCAGAAATTGGCTTTTCTAAATATTTCAGAAAAGTCCACAGAAATGTTAAAAAGACTTTTATGCAAAAGAATGTCTGTCTGCATCAGTTGAGTTGTGATGCTCACCAGAATTTCCTAATAACACAAAGGCAAGTCCATACACTTGATCAGGTTTCAAGGAACAGAAGGTGAACTATTAGGTCACCTTTAGTTGGAGCTTCTGCTGGCTTTTTACTATACACTGTTCACCAATGTGAGTCAGATGAACTTCTGCGAAAGAATAGTGTTTGGTGGCCAGGGCCTCTTTTGGGCATTTCTTCCTAAGTGGCATAACACAACGGATAAGGGAGTAGGGGAGGTAATACAGGGAAGCTACTCTCCAGCTCAGAACGAGTTGATGAAGCCCATATATGCATTCAAGAAGCCCATGGGATCCTCTAGCTGTGGATAGTGGCTAATGTGGTCATCCAGAATCGACACTGTGGACCGCGGCAGCGTTTTCCTAGTGGAAGAGAACAGCATGTAGGTGAACTTGAGGCTGGATGGAAGGGGAGGGATGTAAGCCAGTGGGAAGCCCTGGTAAACTCTCCTGTGGACATACCACACTGGAGGGAACCTACACAGAGCTTATTCACCTTCTACCCTGGAATTGTAGCTTAGGCAGATATACTTGCCAATTCTATTTATGACGTATACAAACTAGTTTTTACATGTTCATAATCCAACAGACAACAACTTGAAAACAACACTTTTGCTGCAAATGTCAAAACAGGATGACTTCCAGCTCCTTAGAGAAGCCTGAAGTATCAGACAAGTGGGCCACTCAGCAACTCACTGTCCAAGTAAAGACAACAAAGACCTCCCTTAACCCTGGAAAGAGATGAGAGGGTTTAAAATCAAATGCAAGCTGTTTACTACTGAGTTGTTTCTGCTAGGCCATGTGAAGGTATGGAAAATTCTTATGTGACAAAGGCAGTCGAGATTTCGCAGTCCAACACCTTCCAACTAAGTACCAATGAGAAGGCACTTTTCTCAATCTCTCCTTGCAATCTGATCAGCTAAGGTCAATGAGTTGGCATTACAATCAATAAAAAGGAAACATTTCTTAAGATGGATCCACTTCCATTCCCTGGCTCACATGACAGCTTTTTCTTACCTGTATACATCAGAATATGTAGAAGCCATGACAGTGAAAATAGGCAGTATAAATCAAAAGACTGTATAACAGAATTTCTTGATCTTTACACATTTGTGTGAGAATAAAATTCCCAACTCATCCTCTTATGTTTCCTAGATGAACAACCAGTAAGGTCAGACAGTGACCAGAGCAAAAGCTCTCAACAGGAAATCCTACTCACCAAAGACCCCTGAGGGAGACTCACCTGTACAGCTCCAAAAACTCTGGATAGGGGTTCACAGGATCCAATGGCCCATAGATGAAATGAACTATGAAAGAGAAGAGGGAGTTACTAATAGATCTCACAGCTATTCCCCATTCCCCGCCCTAATTTTTTTTCCATTTTGAGAAATAATTGACATGTATATCATTGTGAAAAGTATACAGCCTGATGGCTTGGTTTACATTTACTGTGATATCGCTACCACAATAGTTCTGCTAATATCCATCTTCTTTATGTTTATTGTAGATACTATAAAAAAGGAAAAAAATTTTCTCCCTGTGATGGGAATTTATATAAGAGGTACTCTTAACTTTGCTGTATCTCATACAGCAGTGTTAACTATAGTCCTCATGGTGAACATTCCATCCCTAGTACTTATGGCTCCAAGTTTGTGCCTTTGACCACCTTCCTCCAAATTTTCCCTCTCCTACCCTCCACTTTCTGGTAACCACCAGTCTAATCTCTTTTCTGAGTTTTTTTTCTAAGTTCTATGTATTAGTGAAATCATATTTGTCTTTACTTGTGTGACCTCTTTCATTTAGCCTAATGCCTTCAAGGTCCATCATGTTGTTGCAAATGATAAGATTGCCTCATTTTTTATGGCTGAATAATATACCATTGTATATACATACCACAACTTCTTTATCCATCCATCTGTTGGTAGACAGGTTATTTCCATGATGTGGCTATTGTAAATAATGCTATGAATGTGGGGGTACTCTGTATCTTTTAAAGTTAGTGTTTCATTTCCTTTGGATAATAAGGTGTATTTTTAATTTTTTGAGGAAACTCCATACTGTTTGTCATAGTGGCTGAACCAATTTACAATCCCACCAACAGTGCGTAAGGATCCCCTTTTCTCTACATCCACGCCACCATTTGTTAATCTCTTGTCTTTTAGATAATGGCCATTCTAACAGGCATGAGATGATAGCTCACTGTGGTTTTAATCTTCATTTCCCTAATGAGTAGTGATGTTGAGTATCTTTTCAGGTACCAGTTGGCCTTTCATATATTTTCTTTTGAACAGTGTCTACTCAGGTCCTTTGCCTATTTTAAATTTGTTGGGTTTTTTTCGCTATTGAGCTGTATGAGTTTGTTATATTTTGTATATCAACCCCTTATCAGATATATGGTTTGCAGACATTTTTCCCCATTCTATAGGTTTACCTTTTCCCTTTGTTAATGGTTTTTGCTGTGCAGAAGCTTTTTAGTTTGATGTAGTCTGACTTTAAGTAAAAAAAATTTAATGATAGAAAACCTAACTTCTTTCAATAAGTAGGTTATAAAGAACTTCTGAGAGTAAGTCTAAAACTTAGCCAATTTGTGACATTTCTTCCTATATACAACTATTCAGTCTCTCCTCCCCAGGTCATCTGTGCCTGGACCAAAGGGAGTAAGCCCCAATTCTTTTAACCTTCTCGTTCTATAAATCCATGATACTATCATTCTTTAAAATTAGTCTCTTCAATTATAATTGACCCCTGATATTTTAAATCGGCCAGTAATTTCTTGAGCACCAACTACTATGTGTGAGACACTGCACGGATTTTTTTCTTTTTAAATCCATAAGAATGAAGAGACAGGTGAGCAGAAACCACCTTAGATTGCTCAGTAATCTAAACAGCCTTCTGTCCCAGCAGTTTCAGTATGTGGCAGCCACTGAAAATGCACAGCCAACAGTGACACAATGACCTTTGCAATCGTATCTCAGTGTGTTATACACTTCCCCTCTCCAACACATGTAACTGGTGTTTCAGATATTGGGAGTAGGGTTGCCAGATTAAATAACTGAAATTCAAATTTACTAGGCATCCTCTAAATGTTTTTTTTTCAATGTAAGTTATGTCCAAATATTGCACAGCACATACTTATCCTAAAAAAACAGCTGGATGTCTTGTATTTTTATTTGCTAAATCATGCAATTACTTTAACTACATAGTCCCTAAGTTTTCCTATCAAGATGTTGTATAGAAATACTCACTGGGTATAGTTACAGAGGCAAGAGCTCCTACCCAGCGTCTTCGAAACTTCTTCCTCTGATTGATGTACTGTAAGAGACTACAGGACAGATAAGTCAGCAGGGGTAGAACAAGCTTTTATTGCTGTAAGGATGTGAAGGTCTGACATGAGCCACAGGAACACAGTAAATGTTTTCTTAGTCCAGAAGCAACTTGACTCTCCTGGGAATGGCTTACTTAATTTACCCATTTCTGTTAACCTCTCGAGTTAACCACCATGTAGCTGTAGCAGTGATCATGCCTGCTATCATGTAAGAATTAATGATTATATGTGTTTATTAAGCAGGGAATGAGGTCTAGAAAGGCTGGAAGTTAGTTTGGATTATGTGACTGAGTCCAGGTCCAAGGTTCTGACTTAGTGACTCTACCACTAAGTAGCTCTTTGACTCAAAGTTGTAACCTATGTCTTTCAACATCTGTTTCCTCAACTTTAAGAGTACTGAACTACCTGGTCTCTAAATTGACATCTTGTAGAAGTTCTTAAGCACAAAGCTTCATTCTCTGCATTCCATCTGACCACAGATAAATGGAGATTTCCTCTTCCTATAGAGTAAGATACCACAGCCACATTTTAGAATGCAAACTCATGTATTCTACTTGTCCTAGAGTTATCCAAGCAGAAGAGTTATTTTTGTGAACCTCAACACCTCTTAGAAATGGTATTTACTTTCTGGAAATGAAAGTATAAGGGAATTTAAAAAGAGGGCTCTGTTTCTTTTTTTTATATTAAAATAACTTCAGCAATGTCGTGGGGGTTGGGATGGGAGGGAGGAATGGCTCCCTCCACCTCACAGTTCCCAGTAGAGCCATGGGTTAAAACACCATAGCTACACTGGCCCAGCTGGCACAAATACAGAGCCTTATCTTATGTGGTTATGGGCACCACCATCTTTAGGGCCCTCAGTGAAAGCTGCTATATTCTCATTTGAACCAAGGCATGGGAATTCTTCGTACAAGACAAATCTCCCTTCTTAGTTCCTGCTGCTAGAGAAAAGACAAGAAAAAGGCAAAGACTTGCATTTTGAGAGAGGCACTAGGCTCCTTTTACAACTACAATTAGACATTTTGAAGCATTTAGTATTAACAAAAAGCCCAAAGAGGACTGGCCAAAATCAATTGGCCAGTTACAAACTGAATTAACGTTAGAGTTTGCAGCTGTTTATCCAAACTTTTTGTGCCACATGGCTTAGGCTCAGGGCTCACTCTATTCTTGATTTCTTTCTTCTTAGAAAAGTACAGAGCAGACTTTTTAGTTTTCCTCATAGGTCCTAACAACTTTCATATGAGTGGGAACAAGCCAGCAAGCAACAGAACAAGCGAGGGCTCACTCTTTCCCCACTTTCCAAAAAAAGCTTCTCCAGAAAGCAAAGCCAAGTGTTATTTCTTACCTGTCAATAACTAAGTTCCCATCATTGTTGCGAATCCCTGCCCACATGTCCCACAGCTCACTCTCAGAGGGTCGGGTGTGCGGCCCAAAGGCCGGGGCAAGACTGAAAGAGCCCAAAGAGACAAGAAAGTCAAGTGTGAGAGTTCAGAATGTCAAATGTGCCTGGAACCTTGGAGGTCATGCCATCTGACCCTTAACTGATTCATCAATTCCTTTTGCTGCTTCCCTGGTGAGTGGCCAACACTGTCGCTTTAAAATATCAAGCCAAGGATTTGGCCCAGAGTTTTAATGGTGACCCCTTGTCACTGCATTGTTCCCAGGCTATAGTGGATCAATCTTTGGCAGCCACTTACCCTCGAGAGAACACAAAGAAGTTCATCAGTCGTGTGAGGATGGGTGACAGCAAGCCTCCATCTTTGAGAAGCTGTAGGTAAATAAGCAAAAGCAAAAATCAAGAATCCAAAGAGAGAAAACAACCAGGAACAAAGGTCTTAGATTAGGGACTGAAAAAGGACTTTTAGCGAAATCTTCTACCAAAAGGTTTGCTCATTAGCTTTTAGTTTTTGTTTTGCTTCCCCACATTCTTTTCACATGGAAGACAAACCTATTTCTAATTCCCTTTAAGATTATATGTCTACAGGGGTAGAACAAGTCCCTAAATCCCTTCACTAAATCCCTAAAACTTGTAACTGATGTATTCAACTTTAGACTGGGATCCTGATTTGTTCAAAATCATGCTGATGTCACAAGTGTTTTGCTAGCTAAATTTATCCACATATTTGTTGATCTCTTAGTCTCAGAAATAAGGCTTTATCTAAGGGCCACTTCCACTGCTTTATTTGCATAAGGAAAACACTAACTTCATTAATGTAAATTCATGAGAAGGATTTTAACTGTATCCCATTACACCAGGAATAACCCTTATAAAGGTCTCAAAATTATTTTTATGCCTGTATAAATCTCAAAAACTAAAGATGTAATCAGTGAAGCAGCCAACCTTTTGGAGAAGAAGAGGACGGTGAGTCTCAGGAAATATACCTGAAGGAGAACAGAGTTATGTTAGTCATCTACCAACAACTTTAGGCCACACATAGGCCCATTATCAGAAACCATCCTCCCTATTCACTGTCACCTTTGGGGTCTTCACTGCTAAAAACAATGACAAATGAAGATTTAGTACTGTCATCTAATTACTTCTCCAGGGAATTCTGCATCTAACAGGTCAAATTCTTTCCCACTTGGATTATTTTCCCCATTGTAAAGGTAAAAGAAATGGGAAAAATAATGTACATGGTCATCTGTAATGCTGATGCTTAAGCTCTGACTCCCATTGGCATTTCCTCCCATTCTTCAGAACACGTTGTATTGTTACTATTTGGGGCTGCAAAAGAAACCAGAGATTTTTCAGGAAATATAGGTCCCTAGAAAAATCCTACAGTTCTTTCTTTTTTTCTCCAGTCAGTGAGAGAAAGCATTAACATTGCTGATTAAGGAACAGACTCCTCTCCTGATCTATTCTTAAGGAATTCAGGAGATAACTAGGATTTCACAGATTTACAAGCCAGGCTCACTGGCTGAGAGAAAAAGTGAACCCTTGATTAGACCTTTTGGAGATGTTTCTAATTTCTAACTGAAACTTGGCACTGCTATTAATGCGGAGTTTAGGAAACAAAACACAGTACTACTAGACACACCTGTGGCTTCATTGCAGCTATCCATGTAACCCGATGCAGTTGGCTGGAGATACTTACATGCTAGCATCTGCACTCCTCACTACCTTCTAACCAGAGTTGTTGCTAGATCCACCACTAGATCTTGCCATGCAGTGCATTTCAAAAGCACATATTACTCTACTGCTATTTATTAACAATATGCCAATATAATCAGCTTCCTTGGTAATCCTATTCATTTTATTTTCTATATTTAAGAACATTACTCTGAGAAAAGGTAAATAAATCTCATCAGACCACAAAAGTGATTCAAAGCACAAAAAAGGTAAAGATCCTCTAGTTTAACTGGGTCTGCTTGTAATATTATCAGATTACCATTTAGATGTCAACATGATGTCTAAACGTGGCCCTTCTTAGGCTACCCTCACTTCCCACCCACCGCCAAGGCAATTACCTCCATTTGACAAACAGAGACTCTTTATGGTAAGCCGACCAGATCGATTCTGCTTGAACCTAGAAAACGGGTGCAGGAAACACACAACTGAGTGGACGTACACCAGTGCAGTGGCTAAAGACAAACTCCCAAGAAGGAAAAGCGGTAGAAAGAACCCAGGAATAATTTACTTTCCCCAGCATTTTAAATGAGTGAAACCTATGAGACAGCAGAAGTTTAAGACTTAACTGACCTATAGAGCAGCTCCTGAGCAACGATATCACCATAATCATGAGACAAAAGGTTGATCCTGCGGTTCTGGAGCCCCAGATGCCTCAAAAGTGCCTCCACAATGCTGGCCTGCTCAAATATGGAATAGTGATGTGGTCTCTAAGGAAAAGAAAGCCCGGATATACAGGATGAAGTCACAAGTGCAGATCTGTCTGCCTGCTTGACCCCTCTGCCCTCATGCACCGCACCCCACCCTCAACACTAGTTCCCCGTCTAGATGCGGCTTACTGGTTTGTCACTGAAGCCAAAGCCCAAGAAGTCAAGGGCAATCACTCGATGAAACCTCAGGGTCAGACCTTCCCAAATCTACAAGAAAAAAAGGATGATTTGGACTTCTGATCCTGTCCCTCCTCTCCTCTGACCTATAGCAGTAGAGGAGTTTCACCCCTCTCTCAGCCTAACAGACATCAATAAAGAGAAAAATCTCATGAAACCACCACAGGCCCACAGATGATCCTCTTGAAAAGTGCTTTATGCCTAATAATTAATCTCTATTGAGGGAAGAACTCCAGTATTTTTAACTTGGCAATGCTCCTTCCCAGACTGTCAAAGAATTTTTTATGCCTTTACAATAAATGAGAAACAGTTCTACATTTAATCCTATTTTATTAAGCAATTCAAATATGCAAGAGCCTTCCAGTGCTGACAACAAAATCCTTGATTTTTGATTTTTAAAGATATAGTAGGACCTATAAGTCCGATTTCATTACCTTGTACCAATCATAGCTGGATGTTGGAAAGCCATGTAAAAGCACAACTATCTCTGGACTTCCAACCACTCCCACGGAGTCTGGGAAGAAGAAAAGAAATCAGGCTGACTCCCTCGAAAATAACCTTGATGATAGTAAAATCTATAAAGGACAAGAAGTGCCACCAAATTAATGCAATTAAAATACAGAATTTCTTTTTAAAATGCAAGCTTACTGCTTTAGGTAAAAACAGGCATTTGACTATTTTCCTTTAATTTGTATGTAAAGAACTATAAACACCACACTTTGTATGAAAATACTTGAAAGGCAGTCTGCCTAATTTCACCTAGAATTTTTTTTAAGTATTTCTCCCTTTATTTTGTATTATTATTAATTAGCAATTTTTTTCACAGTGAGAAGTAAACTTTCACAGTTAAATGTATACAGTCACAACATATAAACTATAAATTCTTTATACTGTATCTTTCTTTAATGGCCTCACAAAAATTCTCTAAAAAAATGGCAACTATTTCTCAACCTGGTGAGCACCTTGGCTTTTGCTACTTTTTTCAGTAATTCTACAGGAGACCCAATCCAGTATCAAAAGCAGAATGCTGAATATTAAAGAATTCTAACAGCTTTCAAAAAGGGTTAATCAACAGAGACATGAACATTTTTTAATGCACAAACATCTTTTAAATTAGCCAAACATTTAAACATTGAAATGCTTTGCTAACATTAGATTAAAATATACATTCATATACTATCAGTAGCATGAGAATGATAAGAAGGTTTGCAAAATAATTTGGTTAGAAGCAGTTACAAAGTTAATATACTTCAGCCTAAGAGTCTTATTCTTCAAAATCCATGCAAAGAAAAATCATTCCATTTACAAACAGCATAGTTTGAAAACACAGATGACTCTTGCGCAGCATGAGGAGTTAGGGTCACCAACCACCCTGCAGTCAAAAATCCATGTAACTTTTGACTCCCCAAAAACATTAATAACTACCAGTAGTCTACTGTCAGCCAGAAGCCTTACCAGTAACATAAACAGATGATTAACACGTATTTTCTATGTTATATGCTATACTCTTATGCTAGAGAAATTTTTTTCAAATTGTTAGATATCTCCAAAACCTTTTTCTAGTATATTTACTGAAAGAAAATATCTGCATGTAAGTGGGCCTGTGCAGTTCAAGCCCATATTGTTCAAAGGTCAGCTGTGTAAGGGGAAAAAAATGAAGATTTCAATATTAACTACTTAATATTGTTAATAACCATCAATATTAACTATTTAAAACACTGAAAAACCACAACCTAAATGACCAACATATATAAAATTACATACCTGCTTAATTGAATATAGCAAATGAGAGGAGGTCAGGAGCAATAATGAAAAACGGTTTATGACAAACATTTTTCGTTATTGCTCTTGACCCCCGCCCAAAAGAAATCTTTTCCAAACTCGTTTCTCAGTTTCTTTACTTATAAAAATGAGGTTATTAGACCTACCTCCAAGTTCTGTTGCAAAAAATGAGGTGAAACAATGAAGTTTGAAAATAGAATTCAACACCTAGCATATGGTAATTACTTAATAAGTAACAGTCATAACAATTATCGTTAGCAAATTAAAAAGGCATTAGACTAAAATCACATTTAGTTATGCAAATAACAGTTTTTACAGAAAACAGTAAAACGAGATCAGGTTGAGGGGGAACAGAACCAATGGCAGCTATACCTATGAATATTGTTTATATTACCTGACATGGGGGCACTCAAAAGAGAAAATATCTATCAATATAAATCAGGCTACAATGAAAAATCATACTGAAAAGTCAGTTCTATAGAGTTTGAAATCTCAATTCCCACCCCCCTCCGCACCCCAGCAGTTTTCTCTGAGTTTCCCTGCTATCAAATTAACAAAGAGAATTAATCTGTTCCTTCAGGCACACTACACAGAAAAAGGGGTTTCTCCCCTCCATCACTTAGGGGCAACAAAGACCAATGGGTGCAAAGTAAGTACTTCAGTGGGACCTGTGGACCTATGGGACCTCCCACACCAGCTGTCCCGGGCGTCCTTTCTTACCTTGGTAGAAGATGCGCAGTCCCTTGTAGGTGAAAAACTTGCCAGAAGACTTCCATGAGTGAAGAGCAGGGGAAAGCTGGGGGGGCGGGATATGCAGATAGGCTGCAAGCAAGGGCACCGCCAGCAGCCCCACTTGGACCCACCACTCCCTCATCCTGTAAGAAAATCGGAGGGAGAGTGGGCAAGCAGTCAGGTGATGGCGTACATGCTTCTATAAGCCCTAAATTGGTAAGATAGGGGTGGGGGGAGATTTCTGTACCATATAGTGACTACCTTGCCCTCCTATGAAACATGGCAGGAAGTTTACCAAAAAAAAGTGTAAACACATCTCTGCCTGCTGTGGCAATCACCCTATTTGCTCAACATTCTAATTTTAAGGAAAAGATAAATTATTTTAATTATGTAATCTTCTGCCCACTTTAATCCCTCAGTCCCTCCCCTTGTCCTTTTCCCAAGACTGGCTGAAGAGGTTATTATGTAAAGTAAAATTACTTAAGTATTGTACATCTTTTCATTGGTTTTTAACAAAAGCTTCCAGGAAAAAAATTATTTTCTTAATATTTACTCTAAAAGCTCTACCACCTACCCACCAGCATCTACCAGTAGAATCTGTGTGTGTGTATGTGTGTATGTATTTTTTTAACTGATGCATAAAAAATATATACCTGTGTGTGTGTGTATATGTATTTTTTTTAACTGATACATAAAACATACATACCTTACGTGTGGTAATATCACCTGTCCTTAAACAGAAAGCTGCTCTTGTTTCTTGAATATTTATCAACCCTCTGACCCCAGTGAATCCCTGTTTGGCACTACTACCTGGATTTATGCTGAGAAATTGCTCAGGATAATAAGTCTGTGAAAGCAATAAGATAGGGGCACTGTAAATTCCAACATAAGCAGCTTTGTCATGACCCTGAATATCTAATCTCTTGAGAGGTCAGAGAAGCAGATTATATTTCTGCTTTCCTTAGCAGACTCTTGAGGAAGCTCCCATTTACTTAATTTCTTAGGAATGCCCCCCTCACCCCCACCAAAGGAAAAAAAAGGCAGAGCTCATACCCAACATCTGGGAATTGAAATTGATTCTATCTTGGAAAGAGAACACTGGTTTGCATGCCCAACTTTCCATACCCAGGACTTCAAAGGTCCAGGTCAGTTTATCCACAATGACAATGATAAACAGGTGCTAGGCAGGAATTTGAAATAGTTCCCTCTTTTTCTAGCTTACACCCTTTTAATGGTCATTAGCAAAGGAATTGTCAATAGAATGGATGTTCTCTCAAAATAGCCAGAATGGAAATACCTTCTAAAATGAAGAGTTGTCAAGAAAACAGCTATAAATAAGGGAAATTAATTGTCAAAACCCTGGTGGAACTGGCTTTGTGTCTGTAACACACAACTTTCCACGACATTACCTGTAATGTGGCCACAAGTCCAATTCATCACAAACTCACAAAACACTTTTTTTTAACTCTAGAATAAATAGATAATCCTGTGATTCCACAGCCATAAAATAACCCCAGCCCTTAAAGAATCTCAGCTCCTTTACCTATTTTTTAGGCATTACTAGCTAGAATAGTCTTTTTTTTCTTTTCTACAAAGGTACCTGTCCATAAGACAGACCCAATGATTTGGTTCTACCTTTCAAGGTAGTATTAGAAATGAACCTTAAAAGTACCAAGAACATTGTCGTTACATCACAGTTTTCACCCCATAACAGTGCAGGCTAAATCCTACCATCTCCTTGAAAAATGAGATGACAGAAAGCATTAGGTTTGGTTTGTCATTTTCCCAGAGCTATCCGTCCTATATAACTTAGACATTTTTATGTTCACATTTCATCACCAAGCCTTATTATCCCTGTGATTCTCATCTCTTTCATTCGTGGGTTCCAGCAGCGGAATTCTGCAATGACTCAGCAGCACACCAGGGAGGGGCTACTAGAGGAACCAGTGAAGGGGGCTACCCCACCCTGGGGAAGGGGGGTGCCAGGAGAACTATGCACTTACTCAGCTCCTGGACACCCCACCCTCCACACCTTCCTCCTCTTTTACTCAAGCAAGCCAAGAGGCAACCCCTCAGGAAGCTATTTTCAGCTTTAATTAGCTCAGTAAAAATGACCTTAATGACATTTTAGATTTTAGTAGGGAAGCAATCTAGCAGGTCAGTAGACAAAATGTGTTAAACATCTTTTTAACCAAAATCTCCATTATTTGATGAGCCATTAGTCAAGAGTATAAATTCAACAAACCCCAGGAATAAACCTGGAAATTAACCTTTCCGAGCCTTGATTTCTTCATCTTGTATATAAGAAAATACTCTCGCTATCACCAAACCTGCCACCTTACCGCATCGTCGTGAGACCATGAATTACTTTGTAAATCAATGCAAACAATTCATGCATAACATTATGACTGTTTTGTCACATCACCATTCTCACTTGGCTTGTTACTGATACCTCAAAAATACCGTGATAAGAAACTGCAAGGTCTAGTCACACCTATGCAGTAACCCGCGCCACAGTGATACCAGGGTCCTCAAATCCTAAATCACACTACAGCAGTAGTGGAGTCTAGAAATCCTAAAATGCGCCACAGCAACAGCAGGATCTTGAAATCCTAAATTACGACACCGCAATACCACAGTCTCGAAATTCTAAATTGCGCCAAGGCTCCGCAGAGGTCTAGAAATCCTAAATCGAGCCAGGGTCATGCCCACATGTTAAAATCCTTAATTGCACCAAGGTGAAACGGGGGTCTAGAAATCCTAAATTGAGCTAGGGCGATACTGGGGTCTAAAATTCCTAAATTGTGCAAAGGTCTAAAAATCCTAAATTTCATCAGAGCGATACCAGAGTCTAAAAATCCTAAATCACGCCAAGGCAAAATGGGGTCTAGAAATTCTAAGTCGTACCAGGACAACGCCGAAGTCTAAAAATCCTAAATTGAGCCAGGGCAATGCCGGGGTCTAAAAATCCCAAATCGCACTGCAGCGATATCAGGGTCTAGAAATCCTAAAAATCAAGGAGATCCCGAGTTCTGAACATTCTAGTGCATACAGAAGCTACATCCCCTCCCAAGTAGGCAGAGCGGGGTCAAAGGACCGGCAAGTGTCCAACCCACGTTGGGGTTTTTCCTCCACTGCGGGTGTCGCAGTCCAGCAGCCCCAGCTCAGACACGGAGAGTCCCCACCCGCTAGCCTGCTCCCAGGTCCAGGACAGCGGCTTTGAAGCAGCCACACCCCCAAAGGAAGCCGCACACCCACCTGCGGAGGCGATCTCGGCGCACCATGACTGCGTCTTATCCCATCCCGCGTGGTATACAGGTCCAGAGCACGGTGGCTCTGCAGCCCTCGCAGCCGTGCTGGCCGCCCGGCACCCAGGCGTAGCCCACAGCACACGAAAGCAAAGACGAGAACGGCGCTGGCCGCGGCAAGCAGCCAGCGGCCGCCCGGGTGGGCGCTGCGGCACTGCGCGAGGTGCGGCTGCCGCAGAGGAGGTGCCGCGACGTGCTGGTTGCTTCGGCAGCGCTGAGCTAGTGGGCACCGACTTTTAGAGCCCACCCGCGCCCCGCCCCTGGCCCGCCCACCGTGCCGCAGCACCCCTCCCGCGCAGCCGCAGCCCCTCCCCACAAACTCCCCTCCACCGCTGCCCAGCAGCTGCTGCTGCAGGGATGGAGCGCCCCTCATACTCCTCTAGGGGGCACCTTCAGCGGCGTTGAGCCCCGCCAACACCTCGCTGGTCCCTCACAGGCCCCCAACACTGAGCGCCAGGTACTGCAGCAGAAATCCTCCCCTGGAGAGTTAATGCCACAGACCCCTGAACCCTAACACCCCCACCCCCCACCCCCGGCCATGAGGTGGCCGCTCAGCCTTAGGTGCAGCGGGGCTCAGGGCTGCCAGCAGTGGTGCCCGCCCACGACCTGCGCCATGCCCAAGCCTTGGGTTCTGATCATCATGGGTGTCCGACACTTACTAGGTCTCTCACACGGGGTAACCACCAAAGGCACAACCAAGCGGTTAGGGAACAGCAAGTTCTGAGGGACCTACTACCGAGTTAATCGGCTGATTGATGGGGCTGCCAGCAAGCGAAAGAGCAAAACTTGCAGAAAGTCTGAGTTCTCTCATTCGGCCCTAACCACCACCGCAGCGCCAGGCACGTTTCCTCTGCAGTAGCGCTACGTGGTCCGCATGCCAGAGCCCCGCCGCATCCCTCCCGCAACACCCGCTCCCAGCAAAGGGCCCGGCCCGCGCCGGAAATAATCATCACAGCTACAAGAGGCTAAAGCTCCCTTTCATGCATGTTTGACTGAATCACAATGTAAGGGCCCCAGTGGTTCAGGAAAGAGGGAAGGATTTTTTTTCTTCATCCATATTCCTTTAAAACGCATCTATTACGCTTTTGAAAAGAAAAGTGTAGAGAATCAGATTTCTGTGCTCATTTTCTGGCTGTAAATTTAAATTCTGACGAACGCGCTCCGGCTGCAAGGCCCGCAGCCCACACGGTGCAGGCTCCCTCCAGCAGGGGCGCTGCAGGCCTCTCTTCCACTTGCGCCCATCGGGCTACCCTGCCACCCTGCCACCCCGCAGCCGAGAGCTCAGACAAGATGGAATCACAAAAGGCGGGTCCGGCCGAGCCCACCGGCACCTAACTGCGCAGGGAGCTAAGGCAGCCAAGCAGACATAAGAGATATCACCAGCGAGGAGCGTGTCATCAAAACATTGCACAATCCAGGGTACATGTCTTCTAGTGTCCAATTAAGAGGGTCAGGAAACGAAGGCTTATTTGGCACCTACAGTGCGCTAAGAGCCAGGGATAAAAGAGGAATAAGAAATGGCCCCAGACCCTGCCCTGGCGCAAAATGCTGACCATCCGGTGGGGAAGACGCACAAAAAGGGAGGCTGCTTAAATTTTTCCTTTAATTTCCTGGCAACATTTTGTGACAGATTGGCCCCTCCTCCCCCAACACGTAAGGACCTCAAAGGCCGAACCCAAGTATTATTCACCTTTTGTATCCCCAGAGCCCGCCACAGTGCCGGCCACAAAGCAGGCCCCTAATAAACTGCATGAATAAGTACAAGAATTTGAGGGTGCACAGGGGAGGAAGTAATTAAGGGGAGGGGGAGAGGGTTGCCTTGAATGATGAATAGACATTTACCAGAGAGACAAAGAGCATTCCACCCAGCGGGGACCGCATTCGCAAAGCACTGGAGGCGCAGGACTGCACAACCTCTGGGGAAAACTTGAAGTCCTTTGGGCTGGGGTACAACAGGCAAAAAATTAAACTGGAAGGGGTAATTCATCCTAAGGAGTTCATTCTGAATAAAATGCAATGCCACAGATGGATTTAAACCCTTTATGGCCTTAATTGGTTACTTAACAAAATTTAAATCACTCCCTTTACAAATGGAAGATTATCTATTTTAACTAACTATCACCCTTTAGGACTGAATTATTTAGCAAAATTGAAATCGGTCTGTTCAACAGAGTAAAGGCTTTCCTACTTTAACTAAGACAACAATAACCTTTGCATTATGTAATTTTTTTTCATATTTATTGTCAACCGAACCTCTCAGTCCTACAGACAATTCCACACTTTCACTCCCACCACACCAGGAGCGCCAGCATCCGAGATGACAGCAATTTGGTATTTAATGGACTGACTGCTCACAAAGGATCTTATTCTGAAAGCCATGGAAAAAGTAGGCAGACAAGAGGAGAGACCGTCAGCGGCAAGGGTCAAGAGAGGGGACCAAAGGAAGTGCTTGAAGACAACAGGAATTCTAAGTCTGCTCAAGACAAACCCTCCTGCATAGACTCGCTGGGAAAACTTCCTTGGAGAAGAAGGGATTTAGGTTGAGAAAGACTTAAAACTGTAACTTGTTTAGGCAAAGAAAGTGTTCTTTCCACAAGAAACTCCAGCGTGGAGACACGGAGTCCAAAAAACGCAGAGGATAGTATGAGAGATTAGCTTGGTTAAAACCAGGAATTTGTTTTCAAAAATTGAGGGAGAAAATACTAATAATACAAGAGCCAAAGAGTTAATGAATTTTCTAAATGTGCCTGACTTACTTCCAGAGAGAAGCTTCCTCCACTGGGGAGAATCTGGCCCAAGGTATAAAACAGTTGGAGTGCCCAAGAAAACATGTAACCATACATAAATCCAAAGCCTGCCTCCGGCTTGCTCTGAGTGCACCCTTTCAGTTCTCGGATACGGACACTACACTTGACCAACATCATATACTGCAGTATACCCTCAAACAATAGCTTATCATGCATTTACTGTCATATTCTAAGATAGTCCCACATAATAAGACCTCTAATTTGTGCAAAAATTTGTGTAGAAATCTCAGCATTTATTAGCTTGCTGATACACGAAAGTGTTATGAGTTAGCAGGACTGGTACCATGGATTCAATAATTATGTTCTTAGAATCCCTGTTTGAGACCCATGATATGACAAACACAAGGATATGTGTTTATAGAGCCACTCTGAAGAACCATAATTATCGATTCAAGCAAACTAAAAAAGTTCAAGATGGAAGAAACTTAGTTGAACAGCAGCATATGTTCAAGAGACTTAGGGTTTCCGTTGACAGTGAGTCAGTGTGATACTACTCCAAAAATGCCATTGTAGATTGTAGACTGTAATTAGAGAAGTGCCAGAATATGCCCACCCTATTCTCTTCTGCTAGTCAGACCTCACATAAATTATTTTATTCTGTTCTATTAGACCAGGTATTAAGAGACACATAAACAGGAATTTTTTCAGAGATCAACTAAAATGCATTGCAAATTATGTCACCAAAGAGCATAACATTTTAAGCATGGGTCTCACCCAATTCATCCCTAATTGTCACAGTAACTCAGATGATTATTTCATCCACCTTTGTTTTTTCTTCAGGGAAAGAAAGATACAGCAGCTCAGAGCACTAAGTTTTAGTATATGAAGAGGCTGGGAACTGAACACAGATGTGTCTGGCTCCAAAATCAGTGTTCTTTCCACTACCCCACACTGTCTCCCTGTTTAAAATAACTGGCATGTTTAGTTGGAAGAAAAGCAGCCTTGTGGAGTGGGAGAAGGAAATGTTAGCAGTCCTCAAATATTTGTGGAAGCAGTATTAGACATTTTATTCTGTATGGCTCCAATGAGTACAAATCGTAGAGAAACAGATGTTGATTCAACATAAAGAATTTTCCAACAGTCAGGGCTGTCTAGAGAGATTAAGTGGCTCAGCCATTTTGGGACGTGACAAAGTTCCCTGTCACTAGGGGCTGGGTAACCCTGAGGCAGATATGCGAGCTCTGGATGAATGCAGGAATGACCTTTAAGGTCCTTTCCCATCAGACAGAAACTAAGGCTCAGAGAGGTATTGGAACTTGGCTAGGGTGACCCCTCTACTGAAGGGTCAATTCCACAACTAGGTCCTCTCTGGCTGCCCCTCAGCTTAGAGCTCTTTGTACAACATGCTGTTTCATGTGAGGGCAAGACAAATTGAAGAAAATTATCAATGCAGTCACATCAACCTCTCAACCAAATTTAACCAATATATCCCCAAAATGACTGGTTTCTTCATTCCTCCTCAGGCTCACTTTTGGGTAAAAGTCTTTGGCTGCAAAAAGTTCAAAGGATGAGTGGTAGAGAAGCAACAGAACTGAATAATCGGTGAACCAGATAAAATGGACCTAAGTAACAGACAGCCGTTTCTGTAGATTACAGAATACTGGGTACCCCTAAATCTCTTTACACACCTTCCGCATTACAGGGCATACCTCATAATCCCACACACGGTACTATTCCACTCTTTCACATCTAGAGTACACCTTATATACCCACACAGATAAGGATTCAAAATAAAATTGTCTCTTACATTTTCATAAAACCTTACCCTTTCACATATATTATCTCATCTGATCTCACCGCAGTCCTGAAAGGAAGGCAGCTACTTTCTTTTAGACAGACAAGCAATTTCCCAGCTGCCTGGAGAAGAAAGGGCTACAGCACACAGCTCTTTTTTTTTCTAAACTATTTTCCACCCTAGAGTATTCCTCCAGCCTGCATGAATCAACTGAGAGGCAGGTGTTTCGCTTTCCCTCGACTGCTGTCATCGCCTCGCACCTTCTTCAGCGGTCTTCCCTCACCTTGCCCTCCAGGGCCCCCACCCCCACTACTACTGCCGCGCCTTCCGCGCATCCGGTTACTACTTCACTCGCTCGGCACCGCCGCGCACTGATTGCTGCCACTCCGGGTAAAAACGCGCCCGTGCACGCTCTACGTGCACACCCGCCTCGCCCCCTACACTTGCGCAGGCCCGTGTAGCTGCGACCTTCCTGACCACCACCCGACGAACGGGACTAAACGTCAGAAGGGGAGGCAAGGCTCCGGCGAGGGTTATGGGAATTTTGTGTTCTCATCCGACCCCGAGGTTCTGGGACCTGACGACCGAGGACCTCACTCACGTGGTCCCTGTGCAGCCACCCACGAACCCTAGAGTGCTCTTGCACGCCCCAGCATGTCCTCACGTCCTCC